TAAATCAGAATTAGCGATTTGGTACCATATAACGAGAATTTGTCCAAGATATTAGAATAAATTCTGCTCTACAGCAAGCTTATTATCGAATAAAAATTCATCCCATAATCGAAATTTCCACATGTTGGGTCATTGCCTCGACTTTGCGATTTATTAAACTTTCAACTAAAATATGGTTTATATGTCGAGGGTATTGTATTGTTATAAGGAACAGTAATATCACACGTATGATCAAAAATTCGGATTCGGGAATTATGCATGCGTGACCTGTTGTACGACAGTACGACTATTTCTTGCTAAATAAATTTTTTCGCTCTGCTCAAGTTGTACAACTTTTATAACACAAAAAAAATAAGCAACTATGTCCGATCATACCTCTCTTCCGTCAGCCGAAGAAGTTAATGAATGGAGCCCGCATCAAGTTATTGAATTTCTGGAGTCCTATAATAAAGAAAAAAAGTTATTTCTTGAAGATGGAGACATTAAAGCAATTAAAGATAACCGTGTCCGCGGTCCAGCCTTTCTTAAGCTAAATGTGGATAAGCTTATAGCTCACCCTTACAATCTTCCTGGTGGACCAGCCGAAACAATTGCAGAGTTGATTGAAAAAATTAAGGGCGAAGGGCAGGGTAAGTAGTACCACGACTGCATTCGAAGACACAAAGTGTCGAGTCTCTGACTCATATTCCAAACCTATACTGCTTTCTCCGCAATAATTTCATTAACTTGTGCCTCATACTTATTATATAGATACGGATGCAAAAGATCAGAAAATAAAAGAATTGGAAGAAAAACTAATAACACTTCAGCGAGAGAAGATTGCAACCTCGTAAGAGAATCTATTCATGGTATCCAAACTGTTATGTGGAGTGCTTCCGATAAAACTAATAGCGTTTACAATGTAGATCTTCATCAGCTATTAAGCGACATTTTTCCGATTTGGATAACTATGAAGAAGGTTTGTTGTATAATGTATGTTTGCGTCGGTAGAATTTTTGTAATCTCAACTAAACTTTTCCAATCTTTACAGAACAGCAAGCAAACGTAAAGAAGATTAAGAGCTACCCTGCCCCGTCAACTTTCGCACTTCTTTATAATCTTATTGACCATCACGTTAAAGACAAGCAGTTACTTATTCACCGTCCTCCAGAGTGCGTTGGCCCGCCGGTACAAATTTACCACAACGTTTTCAGTCAGTTCCTGCGTGATTACCGTAATGAAGATCTAGAAATGGGGAGAGAGCATTATCAATGGACCCTTGAGTTCATTCATGAAATGGCAAAACTATACCCCAGTGAAGCTGATCGATCTGAAGTATTTAAAGAAAAAATGCGTGAATTATTTGGTGAGGATTTAATAACAATTCAGCTAGAAGATAAATCTTCAAATTATGGAGTATTGCTGTGTCGCGTCTTTTCAAAAAGTTTTACTCCTTCTCATTGAGATAAAAAATGAAATTGGCACTGGTAGCTGTGATCCAACTGTCCAAGCTGGAGCTTCTTTTGCAAAATATTATACCCAAAAGACATATAGGGAAGCACTCAAATGGTGTAACTGGCCTTCTTTTATCTTATGCTTAGCTGGGCCATGGGTGTGTATTTTAGGGGCAGTATATGTTGAGAAACCCATTGTAGATCCCTTGACGGACTTTATACCTCTCATTCCTACAAACAATCGAGTCCACGCAGAGCAAGTGGCACGACTTTTCAAAGCTTTATATTTGGGAGTCAATAGACTAAAGGAGTATTATTTGTCGCTAGATAAGCCTATTAGTCAAAATTTACAGCGATTTTTTCCCTATCCGAATCAATACGTGCATCAAGGTACAACCGTAGAGTTTGCATATGAAGGAAAACTTTTAGATCATAAGCTTCTTTGGAAAGCCGTAACAAAAGACGGGCAGAAAATTATTGTTAAATTCGCGTGGCAGTATAATCAGAGGGCACACGAACTGTGTAGCGAAATTGGAAAGGCGCCAAAACTTTTTTACATTAACAAAGAGGTGGTGGATGGTTTTTACATGGTAGTGATGGATTATATTGAGGCCGTGCCACTTTATTATTGCGACTCGCTTAGTCATGATGAATATAAAACGATTTTAGAGTGTGTTGAAGAAGCTATCGACAAATTGCATGATGAAAATATTGTGTTTGCTGACCTTCGTGATTCCAATATTTTGGTAAACAAATCTCAAGGTCAGTATCAAGGAATGTTAATAGATTTCGACTGGGCCGGTAAAGAAGGAATTGAGTGCTATCCTTCGTTCATGAACCATAAAAATATTAAATGGCCACCAGGGGCTGAAGATAGGAAGAAACTGGATCGGAAACACGACATTTATTGGTTAAAATCGTTGAAAACTAAATATTTGGGTATGGAGTCCGAATGATTAGTTAGTATGGTATTTGATGATAAAGTAGGAAAAATCAATCGTGTATAACAAGCTATATGTGTATCTAATATAATTTGTTTTTGAATAATCTAATAATAAAAGAATCCTCGGGTTAATATATGATCGATGATAAATAATAAACTTTACAGGAAGTTTTTGGCAATGGTGGAGACAGAATTTATTCGCTATTTTGTGTTTTATTTTTTTACTGTACAATAGAGCTGGCCCTGGTGGCTGATTTCGCATACATAATCGCGTTTACTTTCGCATGTGTATTTCGTGAATGTATTGCTATTGATGTCGTGTATATGATCGAGAATTTTTTCACACAGACATTAGTATAGACGTCATGTATCACAGGCTAGGACACAAACATTTGTATTTATTTTTTTCGCATATATTAATAAAATTTTTCGTGGCAAAAGTGATCGGCGTTACAATCTGTAACGCGCACGTGTTTTTTTTATTTTGAATAATTATATATAGTTTATAAATCATGTCATCAGAGCTTGAATTATTGAGACAACGCATTGGCGAGCTTGAGACTAAGAACGACAAGCTTGAGGTTGAGAAGGCTGAAATTGAAGCTAGGAATGCTGAACTTCTAAAGCAGGTTATGGAGAAAGATGCCAAGCGTGATGCTGAGAATACTGAGCTCAAGTCTAGAGTCGAAGAGCTTGAGGCCAGACTCATGACATTGGAACAGGGATCTTCGGTAGTGGATGGACAGCCAGAGATTGGTAAGGAAGCAGTAGCAGAGGTGCAGGCTTGCTTAGGCAAACTCCCAGTATCAACTGTTGATATATCCGGTTTGCCTCAGCAAACAGACAAGCAAAATAGTGTTAACACCAAGGTAATTGATAATAAGGTAATTGAGAATAAGGAAATAGATGATTTCTATCCTGAAGAACCTGCCAATGTACCTCACTCTGTTATGACTCAGTTCGAGCGGTGTAAGCCCGATCACAAAGAGAATGATGTGGTGCCAGAAGTACCTGCTAGCCCCAGGACATCAGAAGAAAAGAAGATGGACTTTTTCCTGGATGAAGTAAATAAGAAAAGGGTTGGCGATGAGATTAGGCAACGCAATAGGGAGAAGAAACTACTGCATGAATCGGCTAATCAGGAGATTTTCCTGAATATTTCTTCTGTGAAAACTGTCACGGATCATGACGATCGGTGCAGTCCGGAAAATTCGGAAAAACATGGAAACTCCGTCACGAATCGTGACGATCAGCAAAAAATTATTCCAGTCACAGCGGATGATGATGATGTCACTGAGCTTAGTAAAAATCAGAATATAGAACAAGAATTAACGAAGGAGTTGCTCAGTGGTAGCATTACTGTCCCGTCACTCTCCTCTGAAACTACAAAACATCCGTCATCATCTCTAGTTACAACACAGAGCTTAGTTCATTTATTCCAGAATGCAATACGAGCTGGACATGAAGAGATCTTATCCTGGCTCTATTATTCAAATAGTTTTGAAAATAAAGTTGACGAGATTCGCCGTGATACTGGAGTTTCAGACAAAACGGCTAGATCTCAATTATACAAAGAAATGCTAGAGCATTCACCTGGCATCACATCAGGAAACTTGCGTATGAAAACCCTAAGAGCCAAAAAAATCCGTATGTTATTCGGAGAAGGTGGAGTGGGAATAGATAAAGTTAAGAAAGTTACTCTTAGTGTTTACGCCATCTCGAGTCTTACTATTAGTCAAATTCAAAGCGTCATCAAGAATGTAACTTCAGTAGAACCATTAAAGAGGACAATAATGCGACTTCCGTCACGAATTGTGACGATCAGAGTCATCGGACTAACACATCTGAGGTACGGACATCGTTATCTGCATCTCAATCTTATGATCGATCCTATTTTCATAGCAAAACATTGGAACAATATCCTAACTTATATAGAGAATTTAGTAGTGAAGGCTTCGATTATTATGGCATTACTGATAAGACATCATGCCCATTATGCAAGTTAGATCATAATGATGAAGAAAGTATAGAGGGTAGGTATAAATCCGGGTCTTACTTTATTAAATGTGAACAGCGCGAAATTGAGATAACTGCATAGTCTCATTATTTTACAATACTATATTTGCTCACGCTTCATTGTGATATTTTTTTACAGGGCTAATTTATGTCAACTATACCCACTGTAATTTAAATTGATTTGCAATTATATAAAAAGACAATATGATAAAGAATTAACCTCTGAGTATCTGGATTGGCATGCCAAGTTAAGTGGGTTACCAAGCATTTTGACAGATAAGATTCATTCCAATTTATACAAAAAATATAAAAAAGAAACTGGACATAAGCCGTGGCAATTATCAAAAGCTGTGATAGTGTCAGCAAGACCTCAAGCCCCTGATTTTAAGCCTATTACTTACAAAGTTAAACCTGGTCCAGAATTAATTATCAAATCCATCTTAAAATGTTTCACATATTTGAAATTCTGAAATAGTTTTAGGGGAGTTGATAATTATAGTTTTGTATCACTCCAGCCATGAAGCTCACCATGCCCCATTTGCAATGGAAAGCATTGGAATTATGGATTACATGGCAAATGGAATAGAAATGGAACAGAATATTGCCTTACTTGCAACAGTTCAAGCAATGAACTCAAGTTCGTGATTATAGCATAGGCTATTAACACACGATTGCTTATACTGGAATCCCAATAGTAATAGCATAGATTAATAAAGTTAACTCAATAGTCTCCACCCGCCTTCTTGTGATTATATCACTCGAAGTCGTGGAATCTAAATTCTACATTCATGGGTTCAAAAGTGATCACCTACTCCCTGGCTTCGAGCAAGTAATTGCGAGAAGACAGAATTACATTGTAAAAAATCGTACAGTATAAAAATAAAATTTGGTGAGGGTATGGGACCCCACCTTCTTTATTTAATATTTTTTTTGCCGGAATGACAATATATATATAAAAAATATATATCGCTATTATAAGTGCGAATACAAATAAAAAAAAATTTAAATAATTTGTGTTTTTTATCCTGGTAATTGTTCTACAAGTACATGAATAATATTTTGATTAGGATTATTACTGAAAAGAGTATAAAGATTAGTATAAGGATGCATATTCATATATCATTCTTGGGGGCGAAATATAAGAAACCGGCGAGATGTATTAACTGCACCAGATGGTAATAGGGACAAACGGCTTGAACTTGAGTTTCTAATATTTTAACAGTATTTCCTTTAAAAAGTTTGATTTTAAATAAATGATGCGGTACGCAAAATGTAATAAGACAATTAAGATAAATATATCCATTAGTCTTAGAGTTGGGTTCGTTAGTCTTGGTGGTGGTGGTTTCGTTAGTACTACTCATTTTCGTTCCTAAATACAAAAATCATAGTAAGTAAAAATTCATCTTCATAGTCTCCATTAAATGAAATAGCAAATTACTTTAAAAATAAATTATGGCAAGTGAACCAAGTAAAAATATATATGAGCAAAAAATAACATTATTGCTAACTTATCTTATAGGTGGGGGACTTACTTATTTTTATACTGTCTATTTGCTAGATCAAAAAACTTGCTAGAAAAAAAATATATGATTAGTGATTACGTTATCCTAATGCAATGCCAGATCACACTTAACAAAGCAACTCAGCTCGGTCATAACTTCTAAACACTGAATCTATTTTGCCATTTTTCTGGTAAAATTATCACCTTATAATCAACGATCATTTAAAGTGGGCTTAGATCTGACGATCTCGGAGATGGCGGAGATTCGAAGTCTCTGTAACATATGAATTTTGATAAAACTACTGATTAAGAACATTATACTCATTGCCCTTATAGTCTTTTTAAGTCCCTTTCTTATCGCGGGATCGTATAAAGTAAGGAAAGGGCATTATTCGAAATTGACCGTGAGAAATTAACGCATAAAGTTTAATGCTGGCCATTGATTATTAAAGCCGGTCAAGTTTTTATCGCTCATTCGAACTGATAAACATGAATATCAAGTGACCGCCTGCTTAAGCAGATAAGCGGACTCGTGGGACTATTAAGTCCTATAACAGTATAACATAATAAATTCAAAATGATCTAACAGCTGTGAAATTAAATTACCGCTACATGTTGTGTTAAAATGGCGCACACGTATATTTACTGATAACTGCTGTTAAGCCACTGTTGAAGTGCTGTTGTAATAAACATATATAAAATTGTCTAAGCCACTGTTGAAGTGCTGTTGAAGTGCTGTTGAAGTACTGTTAGAATACGTAGGCGAAATATTAAATTAAGATCACTATGCTAAATTTGTATATAGATTGAATTTCGAATATTCAGTCTAAAAAATCGTAATCAAATTTTTGTATGTTGATCGAACATCCAATATCTAACATGTAGAATATCGAAAATTCGACAGGTCCTATAGGCCGGATGTACAAATATTTATAGATTAAGTAAACCGCCTCTTAAAAACAAATATAATATTTATCTAAAAAAAGGATAATCGAGGCTACGTATTAATTGCAAATATAACAAGCTACATAACAATAACCAACTTGAAACATTCCTTGTGCTCTACATATATAAGGCTCAACTAAGTACATATATAAAATCTTTTTTTCATTTTTTATCTGAAATTTTTAACCGATATTACATTACACTTTCCTACACTAGGTTGTTTTTGTGTTAATAAGATGATTGCTGGAACTATTTGTGCGGGTATGCTTAGTCAAGCAAAAAATTTCGTTTCCACTATTGAAGCAATAGGGCCTCTGACTATGTGTGTTGTGAGGTTTAACATACTCATAATTACTGTTTGGTAGCTCAGTACTTTGGTGAAGGTAGTTGTTTGTTCTGCAAAAATGCACAATCTATTTATCCTTTATAAAATAGTCTTCTCAGGTGTAGTTATAGCCTTTCGAGGCAGGCCTAGGATCTGACTATTACCTCCCTGCAATTTATTTTTTTCTATGCTTATAAAAACCCAATTTTAAAGGGCGTGATCGTTAGTTATAATTGTCTTCGTAGCAAGGAGAGGAAGACCCGATGAGCTTCCCGTAGTTTAGTCCACTGAGCTACGAGATAAGAAATAGCTTTGAATGTATCTACCTCGAAATTTACATAAGTACATAACATGTTGCTATATTATTATTTACAATCTAATCCGAAAATTTTATGATATGCTGGATGAATTGGGTAAGTAATACGTTTTTATTTTCTTGCACAA